TCGACTAGAACCAGGCCTGGGCTAGGCCTCGACTAGAACCAGGCCTGGGTTAGGCCTCGAGTAGAACCAGGCCTGGGCTAGGCCTCGACTAGAACCAGGCCTGGGCTAGGCCTCGACTAGAAACAGGCATGGGCTAGGCCTCGACTAGAATCAGGCCTGGGCTAGGCCTCGACTAGAACCAGGCCTCGGCAAGGCCTCGACTAGAAACAGGCCGCGACTAGAACCAAGCCTGGGCAAGGCCTCGACTAGAACCAGGCCTGGGCTAGACCTCGACTAGAACCAAGCCTGGGCTAGGCCTCGACTAGAACCAGGCCTCGGCAAGGCCTCGACTAGAACCAGGCCTGGGCAAGGCCTCGACTAGAAACAGGCCGGGACTAGAACCAAGCCTGGGCAAGGCCTCGACTAGAACCAGGCCTGGGCTAGGCCTCGACTAGAACCAGGCCTGGGCTAGACCTCGACTAGAACCAGGCCTGGGCAAGGCCTCGACTAGAAGCAGGCTTGGGCAAGGCCTGAATAAATCCAGGCCTCTCGTATCCTAGGCTGAGCCTGAACTAGGCCGCACGTATCCTATGTTGAGCCTGAATCAGGCCTCGATTATCCTGGGTGAGTGAGTGGCGAGTGAATGGGTGAGTGAGTGGGTGAGTGAATGGGTGAGTGAGTGGGTGAGTGAATGGGTGGGTGAGTGAGTGGGTGAGTGAGTGAGTGGGTGGGTGAGTGAGTGAGTGGGTGAGTGAATGGGTGAGCGAGTGAGTGGGTGAGTGAGTGAGTGTGTGAGTGAGTGAGTGGGTGAGTGAGTGGGTGAGTGAGTGAGTGAGTGGTGAGGGGTGGGTAAGTGGGTGAGCGAGCGAGTGGGTGAGTGAGTGGGTGGGTGAGTGGGTGGGTGAGTCGAGTGAGTGGGTTGGTGAGGTGCTGCTGCTACTCGCTACTAACAGCACTTGCCCCAACAGTCTGCTAGAGGCTACACGGGGGAGCTTTGGGTGAGTCTGTGAGTGAGTAAGTGGGTGAATCTGTGGGTGAGTCTGGGTGAGTTTGTGAGTGAATCTGTGGGTGAGTCTGTGAGTGAATCTGTGGGTGAGTCTGTGAATGACTCTGTGGGTGCGTAAGTCTGTGACTGAATCTGTGGGTGAGTCTGGGTGAGTCTGTGGGTGAGTCTGTGAGTGAGTCTGTGGGTGAGTCTGTGAGTGAGTCTGTGAGTATGTAGGTGAGTAAGGCTGTGGGTGAGTGATTGAGTCTGGGTGAGTCTGTGGGTGAGTCTGTGAGTCTGGGTGAGTCTGTGGGTGAGTCTGTGAATGAGTCAGTGGGTGAGTCTGTGAGTGAATCTGTGGGTGAGTCTGTGAGTGAGTTTGTGGCTGAGTTAAGTGAGTCTGAGTGAGTCTGGGTGAGTCTGTCGGTGAGTCTTTGGGTAATGTTCAGATGTAAATACGCAAATAAACCATTGGCATTCAGTTTACAAGTGTCTGTTTGGTTTTGTGTGAGGGTGGGTGAGTGAGTGGGTGAGTCAGTGAGTGGGTGAGTCAGTGAGTGAGTGAGTGGGTGAGTGGGTGAGTATTTGAGTGAGTGGGTGAGTGTTTGAGTGGGTGAGCGAGTGGGTGAGTCAGTGAGTGAGTGGGTGAGTATTTGAGTGAGTGGGTAAGTGAGTGGGTGAGTATTTGAGTGGGTGAGTGAGTGGGTGAGTATTTGAGTGAGTGGGTGAGTGGGTGAGTGAGTGAGTGATTGGGTGGGTGGGTGAGTGAGTGGGTGGGTGAGTGAGTAAGTGAGTGGGTGGGTGAGTGGGTGAGTGAGTGGGTGAGTGAGTGAGTGAGTGGGTGAGTGGGTGGGTGAGTGAGTGGATGAGTGAGGGAGTGGGTGAGTGAGTGGGTGAGTATTTGAGTGAGTGGGTGAGTAAGTGGGTGGGTGAGTGGGTGGGTGAGTGAGTGGGTGGGTGAGTGAGTGGTGAGTGAGTGGTGAGTGAGTGGTGAGTGAGTGGTGAGTGGTGAGTGAGTGGTGAGTGAGTGGTGAGTGAGTGAGTGGGTGAGTGAGTGAGTGAGTGGGTGAGTGAGTGAGTGAGTGGGTGAGTGAGTGAGTGAGTGGTGAGTGGGTGAGTGAGTGAGTGAGTGGTGAGTGAGTGAGTGAGTGGTGGGTGAGTGGTGAGTGAGTGGTGAGTGAGTGGTGAGTGAGTGGTGAGTGAGTGAGTGGTGAGTGAGTGGTGAGTGAGTGAGTGGTGAGTGAGTGGTGAGTGAGTGGTGAGTGGTGAGTGAGTGGTGAGTGAGTGGTGAGTGAGTGAGTGGTGAGTGAGTGGTGAGTGAGTGGTGAGTGAGTGGTGAGTGAGTGAGTGGTGAGTGAGTGGTGAGTCAGTGGTGAGTGAGTGAGTGGTGAGTGAGTGGTGAGTGGTGAGTGAGTGGTGAGTGGTGAGTGAGTGGTGAGTGAGTGAGTGGTGAGTGAGTGGTGAGTGAGTGGTGAGTGGTGAGTGAGTGAGTGAGTGGTGAGTGAGTGGTGAGTGAGTGGTGAGTGGTGAGTGAGT